ACAGAGTGTGCGTGAAATTGATGAAGATTGTCAAAAGACCATTGACCAACTTTCTGAGGAAACGAACATCTCATGGAGCACGGTCCAGCGAATTTTAACCGAAGGTTTGCACATGAGATGGGTGTCTGCAAAATTTGTTCCTTGCTTGCTCAGAGATGACCAAAGAGAAAACCGCATGAATGTTTGCCGCGACTTGAAGAGTGAAGTGCAGTTTTCCCTAACAGAAAGCAAAATTTCGCGCACACTCTTTGTTCCTTCCGGTCGGCGATCTCACTAATCGCCAACGAGTTGAAACAGGAACGCACACAACAGAGCACCACAGACAAACCACTTAACTCAGACTGACGCCAGCTCACTAACAGTTGCGGGAGACCCCCAGCTAACACCACCTAGCAGCACAACTCGTAACTACAAAGCATGCGCGCGCAACAGGTCGTTTCCGGTTATTTTTGGGTCCCCCTTCGTATAGTAAGTATCTTATTGAGCTAGCTGCATATTTTAGCCCTGAGTTCATCATCATCTTGTAAGAAACATCTGCTATTGAAAGCTCATAAACCTTACTCCTGAGATTTGGATATTTAAATTTACAAACCTTAATACAGTATATTCCCCATTATAAGTGAGTGAATTCTCTGGCTTCCAGCTTGTCCATGTGCCTTCTGGGGTGCATTCACAATCATTTGGAGCACCTATGAAGATCGCTTAGACTCTTTGTCTTTACATATGAAAGAAGTTAAGAATGGCTGGCCAGATTTTAATGAAATGTGATATTGGAACATTTCACCTGAAATTGCCAAACCATTTTAATTTTCATTTCAGTCTGGACAGTTCTAATGACTGCTTTACATGAAGACCTATGTGTTTTTCTGCATGTCTGTCTTACATAACTCACTAATTTAATGGAAAAAGGTTTGGTTGTCAACAAAATAATATTTGATTATGAGAATTACAAGGACATAACTTTTTAATACTAACAGTTTTAATGTTTGACATATTTTAACATGCAAGATTATTTTAATGTACATTAATTTTAACTTTATGGCATATACACAAGTGCACTATATGACTGTTATGCATTGCACCAATATGGATCCATTCAGTTAACTACAGAACTACCTGATGATGGTCTCTTGAAGACTGAAACATGTAGTAGCCACTGAAATAAACAAATTGTTAATAATTACCTTGGTTTTTTAATTAAATGTTGTGTCAGTGCCCAAACCCTTTTCTATTATGATACACAACAGGATGCATACAATGAAGATAACTCACTAAATATTTTTTGGAGTGAAAAATGTTCTGAGCAAAAGTTGCAGAGAAAAATGAAACATGCTCGTTTTCTGTTCAATACATTTTTTCCATAAATCTAATTGTTTTTAAGATAATGTCATTGTGTGGTGTATGTACATTTTGGAGTTTTTGTATTCATACTGTGGTCTCACAATCACACCTGAAGATTATCGCTGGATTATTTGTGTTTTTTGATTATTCATTTGTTTTTTTCTCCTTCACTAGCATGGATAATTGAGAGTATACTGTGAATGTAAAGTTGTCACTATGTTGAATTATGCACCACACCAACCATGAAGGTGTACTGGAGAGTATAGGTATAACTTCTTGCATTCTTAACCTTTTCATTAGATAGAGGTGGTTGGTCAGCTTCCATGGCCTACCCCATTACTTTTAGGGTACCCATAGGATAGGAGGCTGAGTGAGCAGGAGAACTGGTCTGGTCCTATTGGGAACTGAACTCTGTTTGTCTGGTCATCCACCTCCTATCATAGTCACTATATAAGGTTCTATTCGAAAGTTCCTAGACTAGGTCAAAAAAAAGAAATGATGGCTTAATTTACTCAATTTTGGCTGCCCATCTCCTTCAAAATAATCTCCCTGGGAACGTATACAGCAATCCCATATTTTTTTCCACACTTCAAAAGCACTGTGGAAGTATTTTCCTTAATGCTGTCGAGTACCGCCTGTGATTCTCTTTGGAAGTCATACATTGTTCCAAAATTTCGTCCCTTCAGTTTCATTTTCAGTCTGGGAAACAGCAAAATCACAAGGGCTAAGTCCGAGGAGTAGGGAGGATGGGGAACGATAACCATGTTTTTGTTTGTCACAAACTCTGTGGTTTTCAGGGACATGCAGGCGGTCACATTGTCATGATGAAGGAGCAGTGAGATGCATGTTCAAATTTTCTGTTAAGATCAGGCAAACTCTGTAGCTGATCCCAGCCGTGTCTGTGAACTCATGGATTGTTTAGCAACTGTCATTGTGGATGAGTTCATGAAAATTGTCAACATTTCCTATCGTTTTGCTGGTGCTTTGTCGCCCTGAACATTTCTCATCTACAGCTGATACTTCACCATCCTTGAAACGTGAATGCCTCTCAAAAAGTTCTGTCCAGCTTAAAGAATATTCTCCAGAAGCCTCACAAAGCATTTCAAGTGTTTCAGTAGTGGATTTACTGAGCTTGACACAGAATTTGATGCAGACACTTTGCTCGATTTTACCGTCCATCACAGACAAAACAAAATATGAAGTCAAAAGAGCACTCGTATAAAAACATTGAGTGTACACAGCGCGGTGTCATGTGGGAGACTGATACAATAGGCTTTCGGAAGTGTGACCTTGGCCTCCCCTCTCATTTTCTTTCACAAAGGTAGTTACAACAATAACAGTCTGGGAACTCTCTGATACTACCTTGTGCTGATTGAGCAATTCCAGCTCTAGGGTTATCGTAATGCAGTTTTACCATAGATGATTGGAGTTGTTTTGTGATGGTCTTTGCATGTATATATGCTGCAAATATCATTATTGTCAAGGGCCTTATTTTCTAATTAATTTTCTTGTTACAGATTTCACCATTACAAAAATTTTGATTTAGTGAATTGAAATTGATGCATGTTAATTATGAATTTTATTTTTAATCAAATATTTTTCGGCTAGCATAGTGGGTTGAGGCACAGTGCTACAAGCTGGAAGGTCATGGACTTGATTTCTGGTGAGGTAATTGGATTTTTCAATTTAGCTATTCCTTCCAGCCACACTATGACCCTAGAGCTTACCTGGCCTCTAACAGAAATTAGTACTAGTAATCTTCCTGGGGGTAGTGGTGGCCAGTCCATAAGGCTGACAACCTCACCACCATCTGTGAGCCGATTTTCTAGAAAATGTGGGAGCCTTGATGTCCCACAACCCTATGGGCCTCCACAGCCTGTTACAAGGAAAGCTTTACCTTTACCTTATACATTGATGGGATTTGACAGTGAAGTAAGATCAGAATTAAACTTTTAACTGCCAAGAATTTATGTCAGGCCATCCTCCATTGCTAGGTCCTTTCTACTTTTTTTTCTTTAAGTCTTATGGCAAACACATGATTGCAAAAGCTATGTCAGTTCTTCCATAGGTGGCATTGTATGATACTATTAGCTATAACCTAGGCCACGCCATAGCTCAAGCGGTTAATCGCCGGCTTCCCACTGCGGCAGCCCGGGTTCAATCCCGGATCTGGTCAAGTGGGATTTATGGTGGATAAAGTGGCACTGAGGCAGGTTTTCTCCGAGTACTTTGGTTTCCCCTGTCAGTCTTCATTCCACCAAATTCTCCATCACCTGGGGCAGGCTACAATAGGCCAATCAGTGGTCACCATGCCGAGTGGACCCAGTTTGACTCCACCCCCCACTAAGCGAATTAAAAAAAATTAGTAGAGTGTGGTTCAAGGTTGACTTGGATTTTTTTCAATACAAAAAGAATGTACATGCCCAAGTTGTCAGACCTCACTTCTTTTCTCGTTGTTCCCCCTCTAACACATTTTTTCCACTGTCCTGGAAAGTTACTAATGTCAACAGCATTGAGTTTTATGCTTACTGTATAGCCAGTTCAGGACATTGGTTTGAGTTCGTCACCAATTAGAAATTTCTCTCCTAGTGCACCTTCATTGTGCCAAACAAATGAAAATCACCGAGATTAAGTCAGGGCTTTAAAGATGGTGGTTCATGATTTTGCAGCCCATTGTTGCCATTGTTGCATTCATCTGCTGTATTTGGACAAGTATTGTCATTCAGTAGGAAGGTTTCTGATGGTTCCAAGGTTTTTTGTACTGAATCATTTGGTGTGCCTCATTGTAAAGCAAGTTTCTGTAATACTGTATACTAATTGTTGCACCATGTGGAAGAAAATCAACATTAATTACTTCTCCTGCCCAAAACATGCTTGCCTTGATTTTGTCAGCTGACAGTCTCTCTTGAAATTTTTGGAGTAGTGGAGATCCTTTGTGATTCCATTTTATGCTGGGCCACTTTGACTCTGTAATGAAGTGAGTGGAGCACCCATGTCTTGTCTCAAGTCACTGTTCACTCTAGGAATGCGTTTCTCTCCCATACAATCTGGTGCATATGTCCAGCAGATAGAGACATGCTGTGTCTTCTGTTTGAGTATGAACATCTTTCTGACACACTGGATGCAGACTTTCTTCAACAATAAGTGTTCATGAATGTTTCAACACTTATACCACTGCAGTATAATGCACTATAATTTATCTGTTTCTGAAAATCAGCTCTTCAGTAAAACACATATTCACATCACATACATCTGTTGGCTGCATGTGACCATGCAGTAGATTTAAGACTTTTTTTGTCCTTTAGAAAGCTTATTATGCCAGTTATAAACATAGCATATCACAGGCTCTGTTCCTGATACTGGTCATTTAACCTGTGGAGAAATTCTGCTGGTTTCACTTTCACTTTCATTAAGAATCATTAAGAATCTGATTATACAGCACTGTACGTGGCTATCTGCCAGGCAGTGTTACCACCTGTTATCCATAAAAGCTGTTTTTTTGTCTGGTGTCTGGTGAAAAAGAATATCCAGGTTAATGTCTGCCCTTGTAGTCGATAAACTATGTTGATAAGGGAGCTAAAGATGGTAAGTAGGGAAGCATGTACATATGCTGTACTATAGTAGTGCAAAGGAATGAGGGTGTTATTAGCACAGTGCCAATGTAGCAGCATCTAGCAATGAAAGAGTGAAATGCACTGTAAGCTACTTTTCATTGCTGTGTACATTTTTCATTTTCTTTTAGGTGATGTGGATTCAGGTGATGAAACACCTCACCATAACCGCAATACACCATCACAGCATCATCCTCGTGCTGTGAGACTTCGGCCCTACCGGGGTTATGTGAGACGGGATCTACATGAAACTAAGTTGTGATATTATTTTGTCAGACCTGTCCTTAGACTTACAATTATCCATATCTTGTCTTGGTTTACTGACCGTGTGCTTCACATACTCTGTTTTTCATGTGTTTCCAAACCAAGCAATTTATTTTTGTATTATACAAATACATATACCGACTACAAGAATTACTTCTTCTTCACCTGGAATATGGTTTCTTTCTCCATCAGTAAATTTTAAACAAATAACATTAAAATTAAGAAATTAAAATTTACTCATGTAACTGAAAGAAAATTGGGAATGAGGATTTGAATCATGAACAAAAACTCATCTGAAATACTTGCACATCACTTTAACATGAAAGGCAGCCGTACATATTGACAAGAGTACAGAGTGTATTTCATACTATTTGTGGGTTTTCTGCTAGAAATGTGGTAGGAGAAAGAAACAACAAAGGTTACATTTTGTATGCAATACTGTCTGCTCTATAAGCCAGGATGCATCATACCTTGTGTAAGCAAGTTCGCATTTCCCATCTGTGTATGAATGCCAGAAATATGTTGAAAATAGAATCTAGTAACTTCTTGTAGTGACATAATGTGACGATGACACGCCCTTGTTCATATATTGGATGGAGTATATGTATATTGATTGTTTGAAAATGTTGGTGTATGTACTTGTATGGGTCCTGCAATTATTGTGGTAATGGTGCATCAGTGATATGATGATAACCAAAGATGTACTAATCAGATGACAGTTTATTGATGTGTTCCCACACTTATTAGATTGGCAAAATAGTCATCATGCCAAGAATATTTTTGTGAGATAGTGCTCTAAATAATCTCATTGCCATGACATGGTCCCAGTGATAGTATAAGATATCATCTCAGGTACCATTTACTGTACTGCAGAATCTGTAGAATATCTTTTAAAGTCAGATGTTGAAGACAGGAATATCATGCAGAAAAATCTTCCGTGCACCTTACCAGACTTGGTATGAGTCTTCTTACCTTTGGATCCAAATGTAGTTTATATGCAAGGCTCTCACAGTTGTGAATGTTAAGATTGTAATCTTCTGGGATGTGGCACTGTGTAGTGTGCTATATCAGCGCCAACATTTTGGAGGAAGCACATTTCTCCAAACTATTGGCGCCTATCTCTCAGACAGAATGTTCCCACATCCTTTAAGACAATAATCCTAACAAAAAATATAATTTATATGTAGTATAGTTGTCCCCGTGCTTAAGTAATTAAGCACAACACTATGAAGGCATACGCTGGAGTGGATGTATAGATCACGTTTTCTTGACCTTGGCCAGCTGGAGTTGAGCGGTCGGCTTCATGCCCCAGCTGCTTTACACCTGGGGAAAGAGCCAATGGAACCCATTGGATAGGAGGCTAGGTTGGCCCCAGAGCTGGACGGTGTGGGGACAAGAAAATTCTTGACTCTACTGGTGCTTGAACTCCGACCCCTCAGTTGTCCAGCCTTCAGCCAGTCACTATACCGACTGTGCTGTCCTGGCTCCCTATATGTAATATAATGGAGAGTTATAGAATTTCTTGCTTCAGGAAACACTTGAAAATTCTTTAACTAGTTTTTGTTTCTTTCATCCCTTGCCTTACTTTCATTGATCCCTGTGTGTATGTACAGACTCATGTTGCCTTTGCATGATACCCCTAGTGTGTTATATCTTATCATATTGGAAGACATGCCACTTTTTGCCTCTTCATGATCCTTGTGAGTGTGTTAAATCAAATTGTAATATTTATCATGTTTTTGAATGTTCACTGTCCTACTGTCAGTAGCCAATTAATATCTTGTTCACTACTTTCTTTTTACAAATGCTGTACTCCTTTTTGCACTCACAAACTTGTGTCTTGTACTTCCACCTTTGAAATAACTTTTTGTCTTGCAGTGTACACTTTAATGTATGTACACATCTTTCCATTACACGCACCCCTCTCTTGCATTCGTCAGACTCAACTGCACGGGTCCACTCGGCTCTACTGCTTTGCTTCTGCTATGCTGAACCTCACAGCCGCAATTTTATGCCAGTTAAAACTTTGAGAAAATTCAGGCCATAATATGAATGGGTGATTCTTCACTTGTCTTCAGGGAATGAGAACAAGAAGGGGGGATGGTGATTTTTGAAGCTTCAGGAGGGAGGCACATACCATTCAAGCAGCACCATTCCCTTCCCATTCCGCATTCAGTCCTGCGACAATATCGTATTGTAATGCATATCCTGCCGTTCCATGGCCCGCATGCATGTCGTACATCATGTCATTTTGAACGATACAAATCTCTTACCTTTGTCTGATCCCTATAACTGTGTTATATCATATTGTGGCATAGACCCATTGCTAAGCAGTGACCCTGTAAACAACAATTGTTTTTGTGTAATGGCTTGACAAACATGTTCCTGTTGCGAGGCAGCAGATTCTTAATAATGCAATATTTGGACTATAACAATGGAAACGGTAATTTTGCTTTGGTCCATGCCGAGATGTTATAAGCAAGGAATAAAGTTAGCTGAGAGTTCAGTTGAGTTCTGTACAGGAGGTTGTGAAGATAGGACCTGATTGCATGAAGCTGAAGAATCTCCACTGTTAGAAGACATTGCCAGGGAACAGCCTGTGAAGACACAGCAGGCTGGAAAAGGCTTAGTGGGTGCTATGGTGATTTCTGAATTGTGGAGATTAGCTGTGCCACTGTAATTACTGGTACTTTTGAGTTATGTACATAAGTGGTCAGTAAATCCATTCATCAATCCAAACCCCATCTATAATNCGCACGGGGCAAGGTCGGGTGAGTATGGAGGGTGAGGAACAGGGGTCATACCATTTTTGGTCAAGAATTGTCATACAGACAGGGCTGTGTGAGCAGGGGCATTGTCATGATGGAAAAACCAGTCACCCGACTGCCACAAATCTGGCCGCTGAGCTCCAAGTCACTCCCAACAGCTCCACAATTTCTTCAATGGTCCGTCGTAGATCTTCCTTGATGATTTCACGAATTTTTTCAACATTTTCATGTGTTCGAGCCATGGAAGGACGACCAGAACGAGGTTTGTCATCAATTGACATTTCACAATTTTTGAAACGGAAAAACCACTCAAACACTTGAGTTTTCCCCATAGCATCATCCTTGTATGTCGTTTTTAACATTTTAAGAGTTTCTGTTCCACTTTTCCGGAGCAAAAAGCAGAATTTCACCGCTACACCCTGTTCACGAAAATCAGCCATTACAAAAATGACGATCACACAAAACAGTTGTCACTATAAACTGCTGAAACTAGTCCTTACCTTCTGAAGCAACGGTAGTCGGCTTATCGACTCAGGAATGTTAGCTCTATGCGTTCATAGCGGCAAAACACGGTACTACAAAAGCTCTGCCCACAAAAAAATTAGTTCGGTTTCTTTTGGGTACCCCATCGTAAACATGACAATATTTTAACATTTAGCTTGTTTAGGAGCAGTTATTTGCAGTTTATCACAGTCTTGACATCAGTTTATGCATGTTCACTGCTATTTCATTTACATATCGTTGCACTGTTCCAATCTTATATTCACCAGCTTGCATCTGACGTATGACACTCACTACTTGTACTTCATACATAGCATGTTCCATTTCACCATACACAAACACTGCACACTGATCCTAAGTGCACACTCAACTGCCTTGTAGCTGTCGTTTCATACAGATTACATGTGTAGAATAAACCACTAGAGGTGAGGCATGCTGAGTATCTGGAAGTTGCAAGAAGGTGGAGGAGTCTGGAATGTTTGTCACCAATGTGTGTAGACATGTAGGGGTGCGACTAGCCTTCTCCCCCATGCACAGTCTCTGTGACAATATTGTAAGACATCCGTTGCCTCTCCATTATCCCTGTGAGTTTGCTGTACCAAATTATGTTGTTAAGACTTATGTGTTGCCCTTCCCTGATCCCATGTTATTGTGCTATATGAGCATGTGTGAGTTTTGAATTTTTTAGATGAAGTCAAGAAATAATTCTCGATTTTGATTTGAATGTTAATTTTTCATTGTTGAACTTTGAGAATTTTCTGATAAATGCTTTTGCTTTTGTGTTGGGGTCATGTCAGAAGGGATCAGTATTGTATTTGGTGAATGAAAAATGAGTTCTTCAGTTCTCTCCACTTTATATGTTGCAAAACTACAGGTCATTGTCACGTATATGAATCTGTTCTAAGCTTTTAATAAGTTCATAGCACCAAACACTACATCACTCGTTCACCTGTGCTGTTGTGCTATGTGAGCAGGAAGTGAGAGAGACAGATATGTGTTTCAAAGTGAGAAGCCTCGAGGTTGCCCGAAGTTCCATCAGAGTCACCAAATAAAAGTGTGGTACCACGAGATTCTGTGCTAAGGTTATATGAGTATTATAGCATCCTGTTGCACATTGTTTATTAATTAACAAATATCTCTGACATTCTGTCTTACATGCAACACTCCTTTAAAAATTTGTTTAAATGTTACCACATAGACATAATGAGTCGTTTGAACCTATTTAAAACCACATTGTACACTACGTGTTTCGACTGTCATTGGTCATCATCAGGTGTTTTAAAACTGTTTGTGGAGAGCGCTGTGCTTGTGATTTGCACTTCTAATGTTTGTTGTGTAGTCCCATTGCACATTCATGTTTTTTGTCATGCTGGGTGTTTTCTCCTGCTGTGTTGTGTGTTTAGACCACTCTATGCTAACACAAATATCGGATCATGTCAGGAAATATGTTACAGTGAAAGTTAATAATGTACAAAATGTGTCAGGTGCCATGGTTATGTAGACTATGGTGATTAAACACGCAGGACAAACAGACGACTGTGAAGTGGCAAGAAAATACTGCATCTTGTGAGGCAAATGTCAGAAGGTGGAAACAACAGAAACTGGAACTTACATTAAGTCTACATGAAAATTGTCCATAGCAATTCAAAGAAAATTAACGTTGGTTTAATGCAACATCATTAATAATTGGGAGGCTGAAATTTTAACTTCCAGCTCAGGGTGGTGTTCAAATGACACAGAGGAACAGGTTCTTTTTATAGTGAATGTCTTTACTTTGCAAGAAGTTACCTTGACACTTTAAGGTGAAGTTGATGGAGTGCCAATGTTTTCCTATATGTCATCCACTTACGCCATCTATAATGTAGATGTGAAGTCTGTTGTCATGAAATATCAGGCAGTGAAAAGGAACAAGTGATTATAATGTTAATGGAGTTGGCAGTAATCATGAAACTACCACTATATGGTATACTGAATTGAAGAAGTGCTTAAGGCACAGTGCCCATGGCACTATAATTAGGTGCCAAACAAAGGGATAGATAAGATTGAAAAGTCTGTTACGGTGGTACATTAATACAAATATTATATTTCTGGACATTATCCATCATCCTGTTTTTATTTAAAACACAGTATTTTGGAGACTGGGTCTGTCTTCAGGTAAAACCTACTCAGTTGGGGCCAAGCAGTAGAGTTAGACCCTATCTTTGGATGCCTTCACCAACACAAGTTAGGTTATATAAACCAAGCACAGCACAAACCATCTTCAAGAGTTAAGGCAAAACATTAAAAAGTTCCACATGTATGAAGGCTGGTACCAGAGTAGTGTCAGAATGGAAGTTTTTGAACTTTGGGTGTGGTAGCATGAAGAGACAACCACATGAATTTCTGTAACAGATATTTATTGTTGTTAGAAGAAGAATATACAGATGAGCTGACAAGCAGAGTGTGCAGTAACTGGTGAGGTGTTAAAGGGCCATTAAGGCAGGGTGCACTTGATGAGAATGTTGGCAAAACTCCAGCTGCAGCAGGCTGGCCCATCGGTCTTCCTTGTGTTGTCAGCCGGCTGATGGCAAGTGGGCTGTAAGGTGGTAGGTGCGGTTTGTAGACTTCCCAGTGGGTCTAGGCAATCGCTAGCAGAGTCAGCTGGCAGTGTTGCTGCTTGGAGACTCGCTGTTGCTGTGTACACTCCAGATGAGCTGCCTTGAAGTAAGAGCAGCTCCAACTGACTGATTAGCTCATTGGAGGTCCACATCTTTACATGCTGTCGCTAGTGATGCCTGACCCAATTAGTGTTGGTGCTGCTGTGGTCTGTGCTGATCGGCTAGCATTGTGGTAGGCTATCACAAAGTCATCACTGGAGAGATAAATTCTCTATATGGTATGAACATAAGAAAAAAGGATAGATTACAAGGCACCTGGAATAGCAGGTCAAAAATATTTTTAAGAAAACGAGATATTCTTGTGCTGGAATCACTGAAGGTCATTTTATGCTGGATGCCAGCTCTGTAATTCATGCAATGGATTCATTACCTGGAGGTATGACTCCATGAATAAACATTTT